GGGGGCTGTGGGAGGGGGGGGGGGGGGGGCGAGTGGCGTTGTCCCGAATAAGACCTCCTCCGCTCAACATGCAACCAGAGGACCCAGCGGTCTTACACGTCAGTGATGACGTAGTCAGTGTCGTCATCTAACCTCGGTGGCGCGATCGGAGGGCAACGGTCGATTGCACCGAATAACTGGCCGTACGACGTTTCGGTCAGTCTGTCGTCTGCCTTTCTTCCCTGTTGCTTCAAACAGGTACAATCATCTTTTAAAGCGGTTTAACTAGCGTCTCGCGCTGGCTCAAAATTGGTTTGGCCGTCGGTCACCAATCTCTGAACACGATGCCTCACGACCGAAACGTCCGAGTCCCGTCCCGGGCATTGCCGAGTCCCACGGCCGACGACATTCGACAACGCGCATTTTGACTGAAACGTCGCTTCTGACAATATTCTTCTTCGTTAAGTTCGGTAACTCTGGACTTTCCTCTAATTGTATTGATTGGTTCGATACGGATCGACCAAATCCGAACGTCGCTACAATTAGAGATGGCCTTGAAAAGCCGGCGGACCTAAAACAGCGGTACCAACCTATAAGACCGCGAGAGTGTCTCAAATCTTGTAAGAGACGAAGACTGGGATTTCTGTTCCGTTTCCTCCACTGCACTTCCCACTTTCACTCTCACGCAGTCCCTCGATCGATACGCATTTTTAAGCGACGCAGTCCGTCCGTCCGTCCTACGCGACTGCCGCACGACCAGACCGACTTTCGCGAAAGTCTGTGCCAGTCGAGGCACTTCCTAGCTCATGGCGGCGGGGACCACCGGAGCCAAATAAATTATAACTAATTAATTAATTAACCCCCTGGCAGCTCGCAACGCCGTTCGCCTTTCCCGCCGCCATCACAAGATTTGCTCGAAGTAAGATAATCTGCATATCATTCACAAAAGGCGCGCAGACCTTATTAAAAGTAAAATTAAAATGTTCCTCGGTGACTGCACTGCACTCACGTCTCGTTCCTACGAAACTTTCCCGACTCTCCTGCGCCAAAGAATCGCCTCAGACGGGAGGAGAGGAGTGAGCGCATTCATCGCATTTACAGCACTCACTAGAACTTTTTTTTTTGGGGGGGGGGAGGCATTCGGGAAGACCAAGTCACCGTTGAACAACTGAAGTCTACGTTTTCCAAACCAAGAGACGCTCCGGGGCAAAGCTGCCCCGAAAAGTGGGCGACGGACGTAAACATAAATCAATCAGGCACTCAGAGAGACGCGGTTGGGGGCCACTTGA